CCAGCCGGGTCCCTGGAGGAGGGTGTATGATGCTGAAAGACCCGAAACACCCTGTGATTCCAGGAACATCACTGAGGATGTGAGCAGGAGCATCACTAAATGTATTTGCACATCAACAGAAGAATTTAGGAATGAATTTTTTTCTATTAGTCCAAATTTCTGTAGTTTATCAAATATGCATTAAAACTTTTTAATACATTGTAATAAATCCATCAGTACATTTTCCATGAGGTGTTTCCATATGATTGCTGGTTCTCCTGCAGCCCAGTTACTGTTGGTATCAGGGTTGTAACAGTGCACTGTCCAGCTCTTATACTGTAATGTGGGTCACAGAGGCTTTTACTTTGAATAAGGATCTTCTGCTGCTAATGTGTGTAAAATGATCATCTAACAGCTCATGATCAGATATGATGAATTTTAGTTTAATTTGTCCTTGAGGAGTGAATGATCATTAATGGTCTGACATTGTTAAATATCTGTCCTATAATTTGGTGTAGCTGTGTGACGCATGATGGGTTGAATTTAACATATAATTATAAATCTCATTTTTATTTTATCTTTATTTTATTTGTATTTCTCACTTGTTTTCATTTTGCAGTTTCATGGCAGAATATTATCCTCAACATTCTGAAAACTGCATTTCCCATCATTATGGTTGGCGTCCTAACAGGTAAGTTTAAGTGTAACTAATGGATATGAATCATTAAAGTAAAGCAGGATAAAGCAGCAGCTCCTGGTAAAATATTAAACACACTGTGGTGCATCTTTGAAGATGCCAAACATACTTCAGTGTTTTAGCACAAACTGCTCATTTTTCATCTCATTACTGTACAGATTTTAGGTGATTTTGTCACTCTCAGGACCCCAGGTTTATAATACCTTTAAATCAGAGCTCGATTCCCCCCTGAATCCCCAGCTTACTCCCCCATGCAGTAACCCAGCTAAGAGGGACGGTCCTTAGCAGGGTGGGTAAGACAAGGATCTGTAACCTGAAGTTTTCCAGCCCAAGTCCTGGGAGAAGCTCAGCCTGTTTACCTTTAGACAGGTGCTGAACCTGAACTGCTGCAGTGCCCAGCTGCCTGAAAGGGGGCGGTTTTAAATAGATAAGAAATGAGGATTATTTAACATTAGGGCTGCATGAAATTGGAAAAAAATCACATCACAATGTTTGATATTTTTGCAATAAATGTTGTAATATTTATTAAACAAAAAATAAGCTGAAAATAAGCTAACGCCTTATGTCATATAAGTCAGTGGTGTTGCCACAAATTATAATAACAAATAATACATCTGTAGTTACATTTATACATATAGTTACATTTATACTGTATAGTGCCTTTCACAATCCCAGGGTCGCTTTACACTAAAAAAAAATAAGAAAGAGAGATTAATAATCAGTAAAGGAGGAAAAGACAGAAGAGAAATGTTGAAGGAAAAGAATGGTGGAAAGTCTGGCGTGTGGAAAAGTGAGGAGATTATTATTAGAGGATCTGAGAGAGTGAGAGGGTGAGCAGGGAGTCAGTAGTTCACTGAGGTAGTGAGGAGTGAGGTCATGCAGAGCTTTATAAGTGAGAAGCAATATTTTGAATTTTATCCGAGACGAAACCGGTAACCAGTGTAGCTGAGAGAGGATGGCTGTGATGTGAGAGGAGCGTTTGCTGTGAGTGAGAACTCAAGCTGCTGAGCTCTGAATATACTGAAGCTTTTGTATAGATTCTATAGGGAGGCCAATGAAAAGGGAATCAATATGGGACAGTATTAAAGCATGAACCAGAGTTTGGGCATCAGTACTGGACATAAATAGGCATAGACAAGTGATGTTATGGAGGGGAAAGAATGGAGGGGAGAGGGATTTTATATGAAGATCAAAGTTAAGTGCAGAGTCAAATAGTACAATAAGATTTCTGATAACTGTAGCAGGTTTTATAGGAACACCATCAAAACAAACAGAGAAACTGGAGGATTTAGATACTAATGATTTCACACTTACCAGTAAGACTTCAGTTTTGTCTGTGTTAAGTGTGAGACAGTTGTCCTGCATCCAAAGCTTAAAATCTGCGATGCAGCCAGTAAGTGTTTTGGGAGGGGAGTCATTGGAGGTGTGTGTACTGAGATATAACTGAATATCATCAGCATAGCAGTGAACATTAAGGCCATATCTGCAAGTGATCTGACCAAAGGGGAGGATGTAGATTAGGAAGAGGAGGGACTGGAATGGCTGGTATAGTGTGTCACCATTAAGAAAGGCATGTAGCTGTGTGGCTACAACTCTTTCCATTACTTTAGCCAGAAAAGGAAGATTTGAGGTCTATAGCTTGAGAGAGATGATTGATCAAACTCAGGTTTCTTGAGGACAGGAGTAACTGCAGCAGCTTTGAGAGAAGAAGGGACAGAGCAGGAAGAGAGAGTGTTTATCAGTGATGCAATTGGAGAATTGATTATAGAAGAACCTGCTTTAAGTAGAGGTGTAGGGGCTGGTCGAGCTGACAGGAGGAAGAGAGAGAGTCAGCAGGTGTAAAGCAGGGGAGTTTTATAGCTGGAGTAGTAAAGTCAAGGTTAAAGGGGGAGAATGACTGAGAAGTAGGAGGAAAATTATCATAGATTTGGTTAATTTTGGCTTAAAAATGTAAAAATGCCTGGCACTGCTCAGCTGCATTGGGTCATGCTGGTACAGGAGGTCTGAGGAGTTTGTTAACAGTCCTAAGGAGTGTCTGTGGCCTAGACTTAGCACCACTTATGATGGAGGAGTAGAAGTGTGAGTGATCAGTATTCAGGGCGTCCCTGTACTTGTGGATGTGCTCAGTGTATATAAGCATGTGCACAGTGAGACCTGGGCCAGTATGCATAAAACTTCCTAAGAATGGTCTTAAGAATGGTCGTACACTTGGACTTAAGAGTTCTTAGCAAAAAGTAGGACCTAAGAGCATTGTATAAAGCTGCCAAAAGTAACTTTCAGCAAAGTCTAAGCCCAATTCCTAAGTGCTGACGGAGCCAGCATGTAACTGTCATGAAATGAGGACTACAAATAAAATCCCACCCCAAATATTAAGTTCAACCAATAGAGGAGCTGCACGGTGAATATATTAGTGACATTAAACCGTTAATGTAGAGCTTTATACAACATACCTTTCTGTGATCATACCTTTAATTGGTTGTACGAAAGTCTACCTAGCACACCACCAATCAATTTCCACTAATAGATGCACATGTTGTATAAATTATGGGTCAAACGGAAAACTCATAGCAAGACATTGGATTCTAAAAGAAAACCAAACTGGACGACAAACAAAACGGTTCTTTTGGCACAGTTGGTGCTTAAATGGAAGGAGGTAGTGCGAGGAAAGTTTGGCCCAGCTGTTACAAGCACGGACAAAAAAGCTTAGGAGGCTATTGCAAGCTCCGTAAATGCTGCGTCACCTCGGACAAGGCGTTCAGCAGAGGAATGTGAAAAAAGGTGGTATAATGTTTTATCGACCTCGCGAAAGGAAATCACAGTTTATAAATCAAGCATGCAAGCTACAGGTTTGTGTCATTACTTATATTGCTCTTATGACCCTCGCTATAATAGATGATGATAATAATAATTATTATTTTTTTCCAGTTGCCAAAAACGTAGCCTCATTATCACCTTCAGTTCAACTGCAAGTGTATTTTTAGGTGACGTAGGAGATTGTATCCGGTTCCTAATTAGGTTGGTGACAAAAAGAACGCCCTCATGATCGAGCCTGTACCTTTTTATCAACTCGTTATCATCGTAAATCCGCAGTACGTCCTTTCTTTGACGGAAAGTGCGCAGTCTCCGTCTGGGTGCGTGTAGTGCAGCTGCCATCATTCAGCTCCTAACTGGCTTAGGAGTCCTCTCTAGCTCTCTTAAATAATTTAGGAGCTGAGACCAAGTCTTAACACTTAAGAATGTTTATGCATGCCACTTATTCTTAAGTCTGGGAGTAGGAGAAAAATCACGTCACTCTTAGAATTGTGACGCATTTAAGAGTGAAATTTTACTCTGAGAAGTTTTATGCATACTGGCCCAGGCTGATCCCAGCCACTCGCTCCTGTTCTTGGTTCCCCCCTGAGCTCAGAATAATGAAGGTCGCTGGCCAGCGTCCTGAACGCCTTTATAAGAAATGTAAAAGGGGAAAAGCAGCACAGATACTCTGGAATACTCTCTGTAATAAACCACAAACACATATAAGCACACAGACATTTAATCTTAAATCAATTATACCCCACATACTCTCCATAACATGCCATTCTGGATTAATAATCATTAACCGCCTTCTTTTAACCACCCTCATTTCATGACTTAACCAAATTAAAAATAAATTAAAACATGGCTACCTCACGCTAAGAGTTCCCATGCAACGGTGTAATATATCCAATTGCTGCAGCTCCAGATCACGGCTAGGAACAAAGCGATATCGCTTGGTTACAATATAGCTCAACAAATTACTCTAATATCACCCAAAAAATAGCTTGTCATTTAACAGACAAACCACAACTACCTACCATCCATCCGTAAAGAGACACCTGAACGCAATCCACCGATCAGCGTGTCTAAACTGCACTCAACTGCAATCCGCTTTCCACACCTTGGGCTGGCTGTAGAGGGTGAAAAATCCGCCTGCCGTGCGAATAAACTGCTCTTATCCGACTCGTAACACGTTTGAATGAACTTTCTCCCTCCCTCTTACCAACCGGACTCACCAAACAATTCCTCATTCCCGCTTTTATCTCAGTCCCTTGCCATCCATTCTGCCTGTGCACCACCGCAAGTAATAAGCCTCACCTTAAAACAAACCAGCTCCCTCTATACGAACGGAGTACAATAGGGACCAAGCTACTTCTGCCACTTTAAGATGGCTATACTACAATCTTACAATACATTAGGGGAGCCTTATTGTAAAGTGGCACCTTAAAGTGAAAGCTGCATTCAATAAGCTTATTATCAGAAATACCAGAGACTGAACCAGAGACAGAAACATCATTCAAACCACTAGACCAGAGCAAAGCAAGACTATGACCATGAATGTCAGTTGGAAAGTTAACATGCTGAGTAAAATTAAAACATTCTAATACTGAGATGAACTCAGATGTGTAGGAGCAGCCA